AGTCATGGTAGTGGGAGCGGGGAGGAAACATTTAGGAACTAGAGGAAAGTTGTATTTCTCATTGTTGTTACATCGCACCCTGACTGGCTTGTCTCCTCCCCGAGGCGGGTCAGGTGACTTCTTGTTGATCTAAGAGATACTCAGACTGCTTTTCAAATGCTACCCCCACCCCCCAGGTTCACTTCCAGGACCCCACCCACCCCCAGCCCCCCAGGGTTTCACCTCACCAAATGCAAGTTCCCAACTTCCATCTGGGGCTTTTACCCAGCAGATGTCTGGGGGGCGTTGGTCCGTGAGCGTCTCTCACACACCCACCTCGAGTTGCCGACTCTGGCTGTGTGGGCTCCGTACAGCCAGGTCTCTGGGAGAGCTTTGCACGAGATTTGCAGCTTTTCCTCATGAAGTGACTGATGGCTCAGTGGCGAAGCCGGCCGGGCCTGGCGTTTGTGGTTGTGGTCGTGGCTCTGTTTCTCAGTGGACATGGTTGAGTGCTTGCTTGCTTGAGGACTTTTCTACCTTTTCCACCCACCAACATGCAGTGGTTCCCTCAGCTCCTTTTGTGGCCAGATCAACACCCCAACTTACCCAGCTAGATGGATCCTTGGTCCTCCTTGCTTGCACGTGGGACTCTTGGCTCCATCTTCTCCTACCCCCACAATGCAGCCAGTCCCCTGCAGATCTACAGTGCGGCCTCCAGGCCGTGTCCCACACAGTGGCAGTTGGGTCCACTCCCAGGCATACCCTTCATTGCCTCCAGCGGCTGTGGCATCTCAGACAAGGGCGCCCAGCTCAGTATGAATTTCAGATGGACAAGTCACACTTGGGCATCAGTGTGCCCCACAGGGCCTGTCATATGGGATGTGCTCACCCCAAACTAAAGGGGATTTGCTGGGGATCTGAAACTCAGATGTAACCGGTGTCCAGCATCTCTGCTTGCTCAATCTGCACACATATCCCTTTCCAGGACGCTTTTGGGGGAGACTTGCCTTGAGAGCAGGTCTGCTGGGAAGATTCTCCTGGGCTTTGCCTATCTGGGGGCCAGGGGGAGCAGGAAGTGTGTGCAGGAAGGCACCTGAAACCTTTGGTGGGATTTACAGAGGGCAGGCCCTGGCTCTGGAGGGAGGTGCCTGGGAGCAGCCAGGGTATCTGGGGGCTGAATCAGGTGGAGAGGCATGGAGCTGTTGGCCTGTGGGTAGTAGCCCTGCCTCTGCCTTCTCTCTAGGCTGCCTGCCATCCACCATGGTGAAGCTGGGCTGCAGCTTCTCTGGGAAGGTGGGCAAAGGCCCTGGAGATGGAGCTGCCACGGACAGTGTCCCGCTGATCAGTCCCCTGGATGTCAGCCAGCTCCAGCCATCATTCTCAGACCAGGTGCAGCACCTATGGCAGTGGGAACCCCTACAGATCTCCTGGGAACAAAGGAGTGTGGGTGAAGCTCATTTGGGCAAGTGGGGAAGGGCCAGGCTGGGCTGAAATCCCCAGGGGGTCCATGTGGGTTCCAGTGCCCTTGTCTCCACATTGTTAGGGCCAGTGTGTAGGTTCCTGCCATGGCCAGTAAAGAGTGCGCAGTGGGCATAAGTTACCTGGCAGCAATGGCATTACCATCAGGGCCACTCCAGCCCCCAACCAGCCTCCAGCGCCCTCTACCTGCAGGTGGTTATCAAGACAAAGATGGAATACCAGCTGTCCTCCCCTGAGCAGGCCAAGAAGTTCTCTGACCTGGAGGCCCAGCCGCTGAATGGCAGCCACTCAGAGGAAGGCCGCAAGGTGAGCGCACGCCAGCCGCTGCCCTGCCGGGCCGGGAGAGGAGCAAGGCTGGGAGATTGCAGTGCCCGGATAACCCACGTCTGCTCCCACTCGTGTCCTCTGCCAGACCATGGAACCTCAACAACAAGCGCTGCTATGGTGACAGAGGCCCGGAGTCTCTGCAGAAGCCATCTGTGACTGTCAGTGGGGTGGCTGGGGGGCACGGGGGGCCTTGGCCCCTCTTCCTCACTGACGGGGTGGTCCCTGTGCAGGGCGTTGCTAACGAGTCCTGACTGTCTCCTCCTGCCGTCCTTTACCTTAGAGCGGCCTGTTGCTTTTAGAGTGTGGCACCCACCTGTCCCTGCTTTCCTTGGGTCCCACCAATTTTAATGATGCCCACTCCCACCCCACCTCCCGCCAGGCACAGCGACTCTATAGGCCATGGGGGGTGAGGGGCTGCCCCGATGGGTTTCCAAGACTGTCACTATGAACGGGAGTAGAGAGCCCCGTCCTTCTCGTGAGGAGTGGCTGGTGGTCTCCAAGCGCTGACCTGACGGTTAGCAGCCCAGTGCAGCTCCTCTCTTCCGCCGCAGCCGCTGCCTCCTAGGGCACCTCTCTGGCTGGAGGGGAGGACAGAGGACCAGTTACCTCCACCTAGCATATACCTCAAAGACTTTCCAGCTAGGGCCCTGTGCACCTGACTGCTGCCCAGGAGAGCCCTGGGCCAGAGCCGGCCCGTACTAGTAGCCATGTCTCTCCCACCCGCTGCAGCAGCTGCCCACTGCGCGGATGCTCGCCTTCGCCCTGGCGCTCATGGGGTGCGTCCTGATAATGTACAAGGCCATCTGGTACGACCAGTTCACCTGCCCCGATGGCTTCCTGCTTCGGGTAAGGCCACACTCAGCGGGGGACAGGGAGCATAGGGGGATTGGGATGGAGGGTAGGGGACAGGACATGGGATGACAGTAGGGACCGTCCCAGAGAAGTCGCCCACCTTCCCGGGAGACTGCCCTGGACTGCAGGGCCTCTAGGCCCCATTCTGGGTCACAACGCAGGAGACTGTCGCCTCCGTACCTACACCCAGGCCTCTCCGGGGCTGCGAGCCATTCCTGTTCGGTGGGCAAGTGCTCAGGGAAGCTCCCGGGGTCCCGTCCCCGCCCCACCCCTGACCTGGCCCCCACTGGGCTTTGCCACGTCCCTGGCCCCGCCCTTGATGTTGACACCGCCCGACTCGGGCCCGCCCCTGAATCGGCCCCCACCGGGCTTTGCCACGCCCAGCACAAGATCTGCACGCCGCTGACCCTGGAGATGTACTACACGGAAATGGACCCCGAGCGCCACCGCAGCATCCTGGCGGCCATTGGGGCCTACCCTCTGGGCCGCAAACACGGCACCGAGATGCCCTCGGCATGGGCAGAGAGTTACCGCGCCGCCATAGCCAAGGAAGACCCCAAAGGGCCCACCCAGGTGGGGGCCAGGTTGGGGGGCCTGGAGCCCCCAGGAAAGCACTACGCTAAGGGCGAGAAAGAGGAGGCCCACAAAGCAGAGGCCCACAAGGCGGTCGAGAACTCGGCACCAGTGTCTCCGCAGTGATGTGCTCCCGCTGTCATGCCACCGGTCGCCCTGCCACAGGGGTAGGTTAGCTGTCTCCCCTCACTCCCCACCCTAGAGATCTGCCAGGGCCCCAGGGTGGGTCTGCTGGCTTGGGGTAGGTGTGCCCTCCGAGCAGAGGCCCTGGTCAGGTGCTTTCTGGGTTTTGTGCAAGTGTCCACCACCACTTCTGAGTCAGGGACCCAGCTCACTGCCCTCCCCATGCAGAGTGCCATCATCCACAGGCCGGGTGCCGGGTGGGCGGCAGGTGGTAGCAGAAGGGCTGGAGGCTCAGCTTGCTCTGCTCGCCCCCCAGGTGGGCCGTGGGACTACAGCCAGAATGGCCCGCCCACTCTGGCCTCCAGGCGCTGTCTGCAGAGCCCCTCCCTTCCTCCGCAAGCGTGAACAGCGCAGACGCCTGCCCCACTGCCCACGTGTTTGTGCTCCCACCACGGCAGCCCCCTGTGCACCCCTGGGACCTGTTCCCAGCGCCCCAATCCCTGGTCCCCTTGCTTTGGTGTGAGTAAACGTCCTTCATCCGGGTGTTGGCTCTGTTCCTTCTAGGCTGAAGCTCCGCCTCCCAGCACACTGCCCGCAGCCCCCACCCCTCAACCCTTTGGGGCGAGGTGCTGCCTCATGCTCCCCACCCATCCATAGGAACCTCAAGGCTTCCCTCTGGAGGGCGCAGTTGGTGGGCCCTGGAAGCCAGCTCACACAGGCACTGAGGAGGCCTGGCCCAGAGCCCTGCATGGCTGAGGCTGTGCAGAGAACGGCTGCTCCCTGTCCCTGTCCGAATTGACTTCACACTGAGAGCCTGGGTCCTTGGGGTCACCCCCCTCTGCCCATCCAGACACAGCACTCCCCCACCCCACCCTGACTGAAAACCACTGCCGCCCAGCACAGGCCCATGCAACTGAACTGGTGTGTCTGAGGGACTGCCGCAGGGCCCATCTTTCTCAACTCAGTCTCTGGTCCCTCAGCCAGTAAGAGGGCTAATGTTTGCAGGCCACCGCCCCCACCCCCACCCCCACCAGGGCATGTCTCCCCAATACCCACTGGAAAGTTCCGTTTCAGTCCAGATCCCCCACCCAAGTCCAGAAGCCCCACCTGAGTCTAGACCCGTGTTAGATCAGGTTGACAAGAGAAATAAATCTAGTGACACTGGTATGTGTAGGAAAAACTTTACATCAAGAAGTAATCCTATATCAAGAAAACATCCCAGCCCAGTCCAACTCAAGTCCACAAATCCCTCTTCGGACTCACACAGCAACACACAGTGATTTGGGATGCAGGAAGATCCCAGGCTGGTGGGTGCAGTCAGGTGGATCCAATGGCGGTGGATGCATCACAGGACTCTGGCAGCAACCAAGGTACACCAGCAGGAAGAAGGCAGAGAGAGGGAGGGGGAGGTTCCCAGGGCCCTCCTTATGAGAAGGCCACGCCCACAAGGAGGCACCATCAGGCTATGACCTGACTGACAGGTTGACTATCACCTGTACACTTTATCTGCCTTCAAGTTGACATGAAATGATGTAACTACCACAATCCCCACCCTCCACCCAAGTTCAGGGGCCGTCCCTGAGTTGAGATTCCTTACCCAAGTCTAGAACCCCACCGAGTCCAGACCCCTCCACCAAATGCAGGGTCCCCTTTGAAAATGGGGGCTTCAGTTGTTGCTGTTGAGGTACCTTGGGACTAAAAGGGGGGCAGTAGCAACTTGGAGGGAGGGGCTGCATTCCTGACTGCAGCCCCAGGACGACTGTGCTCAGAGGAGGGCCCACCTAGGGAAGGGACACGGATCTCAAGGTGGGGAACAGATCCCATATGGGGTGGGGGTGGGGCCACGGATTCCACACAGTGAATGGAAGGTACAGAATCCATCCAGGAGGGGGCGCAGATCTCACGGAGGGGCACAGATCCCACCCAGAGGAGGTGTGGCACCGGAAGCAGGCTTTGGTGGACCCGCTGTTGGTACCAGTCTGTAGTTGCTGAATACAAAATGTACATTTAAAAATTAGCTCTTCTCAAACTTTAAGACAGCTTGAAAGCTTGTTCATAGATCTAATACGTTTGTGTTATAATGACTTCATGTATTCTTTAATACTTAACTTACTCTTACATCTGGAAAACTAAATCTCTCTAGACTGTTGAAGGCACGTTACAAACACAGCAAACCTAATGAGTTAATCTCCCTTAGATTTCCTCAACAGTCTTCATAGATGACCACACCTCATCCTCCCACACTCCCTGAACACCAGGCAGGGCCAATCTTCAGCTATTGGACAAAACTCCCAAGAGCAGTTATCTGGGACTCAGGAGGCTGATGGGGTGGGTCACTGGGTCCCAGGTACATTTCAAGGGTGGCACTGTCAAGATTCAATATCATCCTGGACCAAGGAAGGTGAGGGCTGGGTGGACGCCGCTGGGTGGAGAGTGAAGCCCTTGGAGCTGTGGTGAGGGCTGGATGAAGGGCTAGGGCTGGTCTTTGCAGGTTCCTCTTTTCAGACCCCAGGTCTATTGCCCCTTTGGGGCCCCCAGGGTGGCCTTTCCCCTGTCAGGCTGGTCATTCAAGCTGTGCATCCCATGGGAACACCGGGCTGTGCGGCTTCAATGAGACTCCCTGGAAAGGGCTGCAGTGCCCTGCTAGGAGCCTCACTGGAGCCGGGGTGAAGGGCTTGTCCCCGCCAGGCCTCCTGCCCATCCTTGGGACTGCTCAGTGGGGCAAGGCAGAATACGGAGAGCTGAGTGCTGCTCATGGGAGATCTGGGTGCAGGCATCATGGCCCTGGGCTGGGTGCTGCCACTCCCCCACTTCCCTGTCTGCTGCACAGCTTACTGCAGAGCCCTAAGGAAGGAGGCGTTCCCTGCTGCCCAGCTTGTGTGCGGTTTCCAAGTGCGGCTTATGAAAGGGCTGTAGTGCCCTTCTCCTTCTTTGCTCTGAGGGTGCTAGCTCACAGTCTCCACCCTTCCTCTCAGCCTGTGCTGTCCGAGGTGACCTCTGTGGTTTGACCTCACCCAGGGTGAGAGGATGGTTACAGAGAGGCAAGTGCCCAGGAGATGGGCCCTGGGGTTGGCCCAGCAGGTGTTGCCTGGCAGTGCTGCATGTGGCCAGTCTTTGTAACTTCACGGAGGGGCTGGCAGACAGGCTGCCAGAGTACATTCAGTTCAGAGGCCCATGCGAGGCGAGGTGGGAGCTGTTGCACTGTGGGCTGGCAGGGGAAGGCAGTGGTGGGTAGAGGTCTCTCTTCAAAGCAGACACATTCACCTGTGGACCTCCAACCCAGTCTCCAGAAGCCCCAGTGGCTGAGCAAGTGTCATGGGGGTGGGGGTGGGGAGGAGTGGTGCCAGGTCCAGTTTCAGGCTACATGCCTACAGGCCTCCGGTCCTGGACAACTGGAGCAGGGCGGAGTCAGGTAAATTTTCAGCTCACAGAGCATATCACAGCATGATCAAGGAGGGACCAAGTGGGCAACTGAGGCCAGAGAGGTAAAGACATCAGCCCAGGCCACACAGCATCAGAACTGGAACACCCCCTTCCTGTGCCCCCTCCCAAGTCTCCCTGTAGCTGCACAGCTCAGTCTGCAAAGCAGCCCGGCTTGTCCCAGCTCGATGGTCCCAGACTCACCCCCACCCTTGTTTTGTACTGTGTTCATTGTGATTCAGGTGAAGGTTCTCAGAGCCAACCATGAGCTTGACATTCCACAGGTTATGGCAGGCGTCCGCAAACTACGGGCCACATCCGGCCCGCCGGGTGTTTTTGCCCCATTTGTTTTTTTTACTTCAGTATAAGGTATGTGCAGTGGGCATAGGAATTTGCTCAGTGTTTTTTCAAACTATAGTCCAGCCCTCCAACAGGTCTGAGGGGCAGTGAACTGGCCCCATGTTTAAAAAGTTTGAGAACCCCTGGGTTACAGCATTTTCGTCCAGCTCATCCACTGCTGCCCCCTTGTGCCTTCACTTGTCCTACTTCCGCCCAGGTGCCCCTGCTTCCAGCCCTCCTTTCTGATCCCCGTCCTGTGTAAATGCTGCTCTTTGGACCTCAAATCTGGCCCAACACGGGGCCAGATCTGAAGTGTGACCAAGGGCCACATAGTCTTGGGGGTCCTACCTGTCTTTGTCAGACCAATAAGGCTGGTCTCTTTCATGACTTTCTTTCTGCTCCACGTTATTCTCCCCCTTGCTCTCCAAGCCCTTCTAATGGAATCCCTTTCAGAGCAGTTGGTGGTTGGAACCAGGCATCATCTAGTTCCTCTGGTCTCAGGGTTGTGGGACTAATGTTTGTGTGGTCCATTAAGCCCCTTCAACTAACTGCTTCCATGTCTGGGTGGTGGTGTCTGTGCCAGATGGTCCCACCCCAGGCCTGTCTGCCACCTCCCCAGGTGTCCCCTGGCAGGGTGGGGGCAGCTATCCAAGGATAACTGAACCAGGGAGCCCCATGCAAAGCTCCACTGAGCCCTCTGGGGATGCCAGGGCCCTGCCACTCAAGCTGTGTGAAGGCAGCCCCCAAACAGAAGTAGCCACCACCCAAGGTGGGGGGCAGGGAGGGAACCACAGAGAGCAGTTGGCCCGGGGCGTCTGCCTGGGGGCTGGTGTTCAGAGGGGTGCAAGGAGGCAGGCTTTTCCTTGAGTTTCCGACCCTCTCTGGGGTGACTGTGTGGTGTGGAGACCTGCAGTAAGCCCTTCTGCCTGCAAGTGCCTGCCTGCCGCTGTCTAACAGGGCGCCTGTCTCCCTTTCTCCACCACAGTGGCTGGAGGGGTTAGCTCTCAGCCAGCAGGGGCCTTTACCCAGTCCAGAGCCTCACAGGGGCTGCTCAGGCAGAAAGGGGTCCTGTGGGGGAGGTCCTGTGCTGCCTGGAGCCACGGAGGTGGCTCTGGAGCCACCAGCATATCCCTCACAGTCCTCCAGACCTCAGACTGATCCCTGCTTCCACTTCAGGGTCACAGGTATTGATTTAAACATTTTTGAAACATCTTTTTAAAAAAAGAAAAAGATTTCTGTTTGAGCTTCAACTATACAGACCTAGGACTGACACAGGTCATTCTCTGAGACCTGGAGGCTGGCAGGCACTGGGATGAGTAGACACACAGGTTGGCTAAGGGCAGAAGGAGGCTGAGGGAACACCGGGCAGGCACCACTGGGGGCAAAGCTCATCAGGGAAAGTTTGGGAGGGACCCTGACTTCGATGCCCAGGCCTGGGGGACTCCCCCACTTGAACTACCTGATATCCTGCCCTACCCTCCTCCACATGAGACCCCACACAGCTCCCTAGAAGTGATCGACAGGTGAGGTGCATGGAAAACCCACGTTTGAATTCATGAAGAAACTGCAAGACTTTTCCAAAGTTGCATAAAAGACAGGCTCACAATTTCTTCATGAATTCAAATGGTTTTCCATAGTCAACCCAGAAATCTTGTTCCTAGATATTTATCCAACTGATTCGAAAACACATGTCCGCCTGTAAGCCTGTACACAGGATATATATTGTAGCATTATTCATATGGCCCAAGCTGGAAGCAGCCAAAACTGCTTTCAAAAAATAAATGGACAAACTGATACTACATACCTCCAGGCCGTGTCCAGTCCAGTCAGACTCATAGCAACCCTGTAGGACAGCGAAGCTGTGGCCAGAGAGCTGGCCTTGAGTCACCCACTGGGGAAGGCTCAGGCCCGGCCCACTGCCCTTCAGTGTCGACTACTGCAGAAGGCTGCGCGAGGAAGAGGTCTGGAGCCCTGGAGGGGAGGGCTGCAGGGCTTGGGAAGATGGGGCTGTGCGTTGGGTGCCGGGGCCTGGTTCCCGCTGGCCATCAGCTCGTGCCCTCCATGTGTCTCTAGCTGCTCCAGCCTATGGGACTCTTAACTTCAGCAAGTAGCCCCTCCACGCCGGCAGCCCGCTGAAAAGGACACCAGCATGCTGGGACCTGTAGGTGACCCTGCTGGGCTTGAGCTCTGGCGGCCCGTGCCAACAGGGACCTCCTGCCAGCCAGGGCAGCTCACAGCACATGTTCTCCAGGTTTCTTGGATCCGGTCCTGTCTGCTCCTGCCCAGGAGCCCAATGCCCTGCCAGTCCCTGCAACTGCCCCTTTATGCTCTCCGGGGCCTCCTCCCTGCACCTGGCCTCCGGCAGGACCTGAGGGGGTCCTCTGCCCAGTTCTTGCCATGGCCCCTGCACAGTTCCACCCTGGAGTCTCTCAAAGGGGCAGTCTCTTGGCCTCTTTTGGCCACGGGTCTGGGGAGAAACTCCCGGGCCCACAGCACCTGTGCAGCCCCCAGTCATTGCCTGCATGCATTGTTTCTCTTATCTCAGAGGTTTGTGGGGGGTCTCATCGCCTTGGGGGTCACCAAATGGCACTTGCAGGTAACCAGGAGTGCCCTGCTCGGCTCTGAGCGAGTGCCTCCGGGAGCACAGGCACTGCCTACTGCAAACTTCACCGCAGGCAGCTGCTGGCTCTGGAGTGCCAGTTCCACCAGAGGCAGTACTCGTCCGCTGCGAGTGCTTGGCAGCCTGCACCTCACCAAGACTCAGGCCAAGCTCTGGATCCAGAGCCACCACACCTAGGCTAAGCACCCACAGGCTAACCTGCACACTTAAGCTGTCCGTCATGCCTCCCCCGCCCTTCGCTCTAGGTGCCCATCAACAAGGTTCTCTGGCCACCCTGCAGACACTGACTCAGTTCTTGGCCTTGCCCGTCACCTCCATTGGCCTGCACTACCTGTCCTAGGGCCCTGGGTCAGCGCATGGCCCCGAGAGGTGTGGACCTGATGTCTGCCAGGCCCAGGAGCAGGGTGGTGGGATGTTGGCCACCCCCCCACCAGACACACACACACACACACCAGAGGACGGACAACCATCGCATGCAGGGGCGTAAGTTACAGTCACAGGCCGGCAGGCCTCTCCAGGTGGTTATTCTTTTTTTGTGTGTGGTTAGTTATTCTTGTCCATCTTCTTAGAACTGGCTCCCAAAGCTCTTTGTGGGCAACCTGCAGAATCTTTTCAAGAGAATGCTCTCAGCAAACGGCACTGGCAGGTACCATGCAGTCTGTGCAACGTCAATACGGCCGACAAAAGTACTTACAGGCTTGCTGTGGACCTGTGCCCACCTCTAACTCCAGCTGCCCGCAGGGAGAAGTCCCTCCTTCGTTCAATAACTAGAACCGCCTGGAAAGGCTCGCACCAGTTGGCTGGAAAGAAGTTGACTAAGACTCACTTTGCTGAAGGCTGCTACCGCGGGCTGGACAGAATGCTTAGGCTTATCTTAAGTGGGCTGATTTTTTGGTTTTGCTTATCAGTTACGTTTCTAATAGAAGAGGCCCAAGGCCCAACATGCTGCCAGCACAGGAACGCAGGGATGGGGAGGTGGGACAGGGGTGCTGCTGTGCCTCCTACGGGCCAGAATGGGGACTGGGGAGGCAGTGGGTTACCCTGTGCACCTGGGGGTGGTGCGGGGGAGGGAGTGCCTCCCATCCAGTATGACACCACTGCCAAGGTGGGCAGTGGGGTGGGCTGCAGGAGGACACGTGCTGCATCCTTGGAGGGTCATGGGGGCAAGTTCACTCACTCATGGTTTTGGGTAGGGGTCCTGCTGGACCACTGAGGTGCCCCTGGTTTCTGTTAGGCTGCTGGTGTCCACTGCATGGGCCCAGCTTGCACTATGGCGGGCGTGGGGGGTGGGGGGGAGGGGCACTCTCATGAAGGACGGCTGCAAACGGCCCCACCCACCAACCTGCCTCCACAGCTTCTCTTTTCCTTTTAAAGATTGCTTGCCACGCACCTCCCACCCCAGGACACTTGTGTGATCATGGGAAACACCATGCCTATGAGGAAAGACTCGAATGTGTGTGCAGTGCGCGATGATGTCTGCTGAGATTGAGCTGAGGACGACTCTGTGGCTTATAGTTCACTGGGGCATGACCATCTTAATAATACCTGCAGAGCAGGTAGGGTGCTCTGAGGACTAAGGTGCGCCTGCCCCAAGCTATGGTTTTCAGTTGCGTGCGCATGACAACGTTCTCTGGGTCCCAGCTTTTCCACGCCATCCAGGTGGGTGTGATCCACCACTGCGACAGTCAGCCGGATCGTAGCTGAAAGCAGAGAATGCCAGAAAGACAGAGCAACTTGCACAGGGATGTCTGTCTAACTGCAGCTGGCTGCTGGTGGGTTTCACAGCCTACACCGTCAAAGACCAAACACTGGTGTGCAGCTCTGCCGGCCGCCTGGGGAACAAGCAGCTCCTGTGAGACCCAGGTCAGAATTCTGTGGTGTTGAGCCACGCTTTGCATTCCAGGTTGTGCCTGCCTGCTGCCCTTCCCTGGGCCCTGTTGTCACCTGTCACCTCCCTATATCAGGCCTCAGTATCCCTCCCCAGGGCGCCCTCTGGCTGAACCCAGCCCTCTGTAGATGCCCCTGCAGTGCCTTGCTCTCCCCTCCCCATAGCAGCCACCAGGTGAGGCCACACGTGTCCACGTGAACTGGCACCTAACACACACAAGCATTAGCTGAGGAGTGGGCTGGAGGGCAGACCAAGGGACTCCCTCAATTTCACTGCTAACTCACTCGCCTACCTTCACGAAGCCTTCAGACTCAGCGCTGACACCCACACCCTCCAGGGCCCTCCCACTGAACCCCAGAAACCACGACCAGAAACTCGTCACGGAAAGGATTTCTTCTGCATGACCAAACTCACAATCCTCGCAGTACCCGCTGCCGAGGGCTGGTGTCCACCTTCTTCCCGGGCAGTGGTCAGCCTCACTGCACACTGAAAGCTCAATTGTCAAGGGGCAGAGACGCTGAGGGCAGCCCTGGGAGGCGCTGTCCCTGCTGGCACCTGGTCTGGAGTCTCAGGTCCTGCCCCGTTGGGGCCCTCAGTGGTGCTTGCCTCTCTTCTTGATGCTTCTAAAGCCCCTGGATGCACCTTGCCCGAAGCAGATGGTGGCTGGCACTCTGTAAGGGAAAGCATGCAGGTCGCTGATGGCAGAGCCCTCCCGGCGGAGGAACAGCAGGACCCTCCCGCTGCCTCATTACACCCTCCACTCACCGTGGGGGCCTGGCCCCAAGGACTGCCCTCTAGGGCACAGGCTGCCTTCGTCCTCTGCCCACCAAACCTTCAGGACTGGCTCACAGGCCAGATGAAAGGACAGGCAGTAAGGGTGTCCCACCACATGGACACCCTGGTGGCTTTTCCATAGAATAAACATCTCCCCAGGGCTGGAATTGAAACCCATTTGAGGAAAGCCAGGCCCCAAGGTTCTACCATAAATGGTGACAGCTAGGTTCTCTTGCCTGCAGCGTGGGTGCCCAGGAGGCCCAGTGGTCTGCCCTGCGCATTAGAAATGGAGCACCCCAGAGCTAGAAGCCAGGGTTAAGCACCCAGGGCTCACAAGTAGCTCGGAAAAGGACACTCACCTGTGGCTGTAGGCCCGCCGCCCAGGCAGCCCTGGCGGGGTGCAGCTTTCCTCCTCTGGCGCTGGGGGTGGCGTCACGTGTCCAGTGGAGCAGACCTCCATGGCATCCCCTTCCAGCTGCTGGCTGTGCTCCCCCAGGGCTTCGGCCGACATGGGTGCCAAGACCTCTGGTGTGCTGGGGCTACAGAGTGGGGAGCTGTGAGCAGCGAGCCCCACAAGCCATCTCCTGGAACTGACTTGTGGGTACAGGGGTGGGAGGTGAACTCTCTTGCTAAGCTGTTTTCTCCCTGTCGTGGTACAGTCTGAGTTGACAGTGCACGTGACCAAAGCACGGCACTGGAGGATGGCTGACTCGGATTGCAGGATCTGCCCCAGAGGAAGAACACCAGCATGCTGGCTGTAGGTAAGGGGTGGCCCTGTCTCACGAGCACCAGATGTGCCCTCAGGAGGGGCAATCCCCAGGGGACCTCTTGCTCAATAAAGCAAAGGGTGAGTCAGAGGAAAAGAGGAAGACCCTCTGGGGGAGACAGACATAGTGGGTTCAATCTAACCACAGTAAGGTAGTGCGGGGCTTTTGCACACAGGTTTGTAAACGGGGTCACACTGACTCGTAACTGACTTGATGGCACCTGAGGATGACAGTGATGACCTGACGGTGAACTTCCAGGCTCTTGGGACAAACCATGAGCACGAGCATGTAAGACACAGGTATGCGATATAAGCCGCATTTAACAGATCTAAGCAAACAAATTACTTCGTCATCTAAAATACCCGCCCAGGGTACCAACTGTGTCTTGGGGACCACGCGGTGCCACGACCAGGAACAAAGACTGAGAACTGGGGCTGGCCCTCAGCAGCCCACACACAGAACCATCAAGCCTCACTCCCTGGGCCTCATGACGATGCCATGCTGAGAAGCCAGGTGACCGAGGTCTGCCTGACAGAAGCAGGGGAACGTCCCACATCCCAGGAGAGGTTCCTACAACTTCAGGTGGTGGGTGTCACTGTGACTAGGCTGTGCAGGATGCCCTTAAAACTGGTCTGGCCATAAATGGCTATGCTGTGGGGGCTGTGAACACACCACAGGTGAGCTGAGAAACCATGGAGCCCAACTTGAGGACCTGCACCCAGCCTCCCTGAGGCCCCTGTGGACAAGGAGAGCTGGGGCTCCTAAAAGACTCAGGGACCCAAGGCTGACCTAGTGGGCAGAACAAGTCAGACCCAACGCAGACCGGGTGTCAGAGGCTGCCCTGCCTGCCCTCTGCTCAGCAGGGGCCACACAAAAAGTAAGCCCCTATTGGTTTTGTCTCCTGTGGACAAGACCCCAGTTTTCAGAGTGGTTTCTGCAGGGGGACCCTGGACAGAAGGTGGAATGCCTGCTCCAGTAACTCTGTCACAGCAAAGACAGATGAGTCGCATGCTGGCGGGGCCACCTGCAGTGAGAGGGGTGGTGTGGGCACAGCACATACCCTTTACTCTTCTTGGGCTTATCGAACCGGAAATCCACAGGATACAGGTGACACGCCACCATGTGGTCCTTCCTGTCTCGGCTGGTCCGGAACTTCTCCTTGCAGCCTCCCACCAAGCACTGGTACTGGAAGGGACAAAACCACCACCTTCCTACGCAGTGCCACTCTGTCATTGGGACCCCCAGCCCCCAAGATGGAGGGTCCCTGACAGCTGCTCACCATGTCCTGCCGCTCAGCCAGGGTCAGGAAGAGCGTGTCATGCCACTCAAGCAGGTGACTGTCCAGCAGGTGGCTGGAGGGGAAAGCTCGCTTGCAGACGGAGCAGACGTTGGCATGCTGGGTGTGGTAATGGTGCTCGTAGGCCTCCAGGACATGGAAGACCTGCTGGCAGCCAGCCACCTGGCACGGGAACTCGGACACCCTGGGCGGAGCAACACGGCAGCTGAGGCTGCCCGCCCACTCTCCCTTTTCAGCCTTCTCTGCCCTAAGCTTTCAGAAATAGCAGGAGCTGGGGACGCCTGACCCGCAGGCGCTGGTGGGGGCGGGATGTCGGGGCACACAGCCTGGTTACAGGTTAAGGGGGACAGAGTGCCCGGGCTGCTCCACGAAGGGGTGTAGTGGCCGCCCACTAGCGGCAGCTAGCGGTTAGTCCGGCCAGTGGCCCTCCCCGGCGGGCCCGTGGAGGGCGGGGCTTTTCGTAGACAAGACACAGGGGGCGGGGCCGCGTCGGGGGTAAATGAGGAGGAGGGTAGAGACGGCTCTGCGGCGGGGGACTTGCTCACCTGGGCCTCTCAGGCGCCTCAGCCACCTGTGTGAGCACATCCTGTAGGTAAAGGTGGCGCTGCACGTCCCCATCCTGGAGATGATACGTGATGTGGAAGGGGCCTGGTGCGGCCGACCCCACCCCTCCAGGCAGGCCCCGCCCCATAGGCACCTCCCCTGCCTCCTCAAATCACTGGCGGCGCACCTCGAAGAACTCGTGCTCCCGCGGGAAGCGGACCCGGCGCGCCGCGAATCGAAAGGGCGCCTTCCCCGCCGCGGGGTCCCGCTCCACGGGCAGCGGCTCGGCCGCCCCGGGGCCCTCGGCCAGGCGGGCGCGAATGGCTGGCGGCAGCTGCATCATCCCGCGGCCGGCCGGCCGGCC